TCCTTGTCTTGTTCCTGATCATAGAGGAAATGCTTTCAGTTTTTCATTGAGAATGATGTTTGCTGTGGATTTGTTGTATATGGCCTTTATTATGTTGAGGTAGGTTCCCTCTGTGCCCACTTTCTGGAGAGTTTTTATCATAAATGGGTGTTGAATTTTGTTGAAAGCTTTTTCTGCATCTATTGAGATGATCATATAGTTTTCTTTAATTCGTTAATATGGTGTATCACGTTGATTAATTTGTGCATATTGAAGAACCCTTGCCTCTCTGGGATAAATCCCACTTGATCATGGTGTGTGATCCTTTTAATGTGTTGTTGGATTCTGTTTGCTAGTATTTTGTTGAGGACTTTTGTGTCCATGTTCATCAGTGATATTGGTCTGTAATTTTATTTTTTTGTGATATGTTTGTCTGGTTTTGGTATCAGGGTGATGGTGGCCTCGTAGAATGAGCATGGGAGTGTTCCTTTGCAGTTTTTTGGAAGAGTTTGAGAAGGATGGGTGTTAGCTCTTCTCTAAATGTTTGATAGAATTCACCTGTGAAGCCATCTGGTCCTGGACTTTTGTTTGTTGGAAGATTTTTTATTGCACTTTCAATTTCATTTCTTGTGATTGGTCTGTTTATATTTTCTATTTCTTCCTGGTTCAGTCTTATAAGTTTGTATCTTTCTAAGAATTTGTTCATTTCTTCCAGGTTGTCCATTTTATTGGCATAGAGTTGCTTGTAGTAGTCTCTTAGGATGCTTTGTATTTCTGCAGTGTCAGTTGTAATTTCTCCTTTTTCATTACTAACTTCATTGATTTGAGTCCTCTCCCTTTTTTTCTTGATGAGTCTCGCTAAAGGTTTACCAATTTTGTTTATCTTCTCAAAGAATCAGCTTTTATTTTCGTTGATTTATGCTATTGTTTTCTTCATTTCTATTTCATTTATTTCTGCTCTGATCTTTATGATTTCTTTCCTCTACTAACTTTGGGTTTTGTTTGTTCTTCTTTGTCTAGTTGCTTAGGTATAAGGTTAGGTTGTTTATTTGAGATTTTTCTTGTTTCTTGAGGTAGGAATGTGTTGTTATAAACTTCCCTCTTAGAACTGCTTTTGCTGCATCCCATAGGTTTTGGGTTGTTGTGTTTTCATTGCCCTTTGTTTCCATGTATTTTTTGATTTCCTCTTCAATGTCTTCAGTGATCTTTTGGTTATTTAGCAGTGTATTGTCTAGCCTCCATGTGGTTGTGTTTTTTCCAGTTTTTTTTTTTCCTGTAATTGATTTCTAATCTCATAGCGTTGTAGCATTGTGGTTGGAAGAGATGCTCGATATGATTTAAATTTTCTTAAATTTACTGAGGCTTGATTTGTGACCCAAGAAGTGATCTGTCCTGGAGAGTGTTCCATGTGTGCTTGAGAAGAAAGTGTATTCTGCTGCTTCGGGTGGAATGTCCTATAAATATCAATTATGTCTATCTGATGTATTGTGTCAATTAAAGCTGTGTTTCCTTATTAGTTTTCTGTCTCGATCTGTCCATTGGTGTAAATGGGGTGTTAACGTTCCCCACTATTATTGTGTTACTGTCGATTTCCCCTTTTATGGCTGTTAGGATTTTCCTATGTATTGAGGTGCTCCTATGTTGGGTGCATAAATATTTACAATTATTATAGCTTCTTCTTGGATTGATCCCTGGATCATTGTGTGGTGTCCTTCCTTGTCTCTTGTAACAGTCTTTATTTTAAAGTCTAATTTATCTGATATGAGTATTCCTACTCCAGCTTTCTTTTGATTTCTTTTTGCATGGAATATCTTTTTCCATCCCTTCACTTTCAGTCTGTATGTGTCCCTAGGTCTGAAGTGGGTCTCTTGCAGACAGCATATATATGGGTCTTGTTTTTGTATCCATTCAGCCAGCCTGTGTCTTTTGGTTGGAGCATTTAATCCATTTACATTTAAGGTAGTTATTGATATGTATGTTCCTGTTACCATTTTCTTAATTGTTTTGCGTTTGTTTTTGTAGGTCTTTTTCTTCTCTTGTGTTTCCTGCCTAGAGAAGTTCCTTTAGCATTTGCTATAAAGCTAGTTTGGTGGTGCTGAATTCTCCTAGCTTTTGCTTAACTGTAAAGCTTTTGATTTCTCCATCAGCCTGAATGAGATCCTTGCTGGGTAGAGTAATCTTGGTTGTAGATGTTTCCCTTTTAGCACTTTAAATATATCCTGCCCCTCCCTCCTGGTCTCCAGAGTTTCTGCTGATAAATCAGCTGATAACCCTATGGGGATTCCCTTGTATGTTCTTTGTTGCTTTTCCCTTGCTGCTTTTAATATTTTTTCTTTGAATTTAATTTTTGTTAGTTTGATTAATAGGTATCTTGGCATGTTTCTCCTTGGGTTCATCCTGTATGGGACTCTCTGTGCTTCCCGGACTTGGGTGGCTATTTCCTTTTGCATGTTAGGGAAGTTTTTGACTCTTCAAATAGTTTCTCAGACCCTTTCTCTTTCTCTTCTTCTTCTGGGACCCCTATAATTTGAATGTTGGTGTGTTTAATGTTGTCTGCAAGGTCTCTTAGAGAGTCCTCATTTCTTTTCATTCTTTTATCTTTATTCTGCTCCTTAGCAAATATTTCCACCATTCTATCATCCAGCTCACTTATCTGTTCTTCTACCTCAGTTATTCTGCTATTGGTTCCTTCTAGTGTAGTTTTCATTTCAGTTATTGTGTTGTTCATCTCTGTTTGTTTGTTCTTTAGTTCTTCTAGGTCCTTGTTAAACATTTCTTGTATTTTCTCGATCCTTGCCTCCATTCTATTTCCCAGATTTTGGATCATCTTTACTATCATTACTCTGAATTCTTTTTTAGGGAGCTTGCCTATTTCCTCTTCATTTATTTTGTCTTATAGGTTTTTACCTTGCTCCTTCATCTGTAACATTTTTTTTTGTCATCTCATTTTTTTTGATGAGTATCGCTGTGTTCCTGTCTTGCTGGTTGTTTGGCCTGAGATGTCCAGCACTGGAGTTTGCAGGCAGTTGTGTGGTGCCAGGTCTTGGTACCGAGATGAGGAACTCTGGGAGAGCTCACACTGATTAATATTCTCTGGGGCCTGAAGTTCTCTGTTAGTCCAGCAGCTTGAACTTGGCGCTCCCATCACAGGAGCTCAGGTCAGACCCCTGGCCTGGTCATACAGGGGCACCTCCCATCCCCTTAGGTGTCAGTGGTCCCCCACTAGCGCCCAATAGTTGCTCTGTGAGAATTGCTCTGATGCATACTTGTGTACTTGTGAGGAGATGTGAACTCCACATTCTTCTACTCCATCATCTTGACTCCGTTCCTCCTGGGTCATCCTGGAGAAGACGGATTGAAGCCAGGAGAAAGCTAGAGCATGGGAGACCTGTCAGAGGCTTGTTCGATGAAATCGGGTAAAGGATGGCGACATTCTGTGCCCGGGCTTTACCCATGGTGGGGCAGTGGGCACCTTGGGCAGCCAAGGTGCGCTTCCACCTCTCACTGTTGATTATCCTTCCTGTAAGCACCTGGACATTCCTGCAAAATCGGCTCCTCAGACCAGCCAGATAGCTTCCATCAGCTCTTTCAAAGCTGGGGGAGGAACAGGTTGTGCAGGCTTTGGGTTCAGCTTGGCTAGTCTATCCCAAAAGGAATAGCATGTGTTTTGGGGAACACAAAGGGATGATTTTCTCTTTCACAGTTATGACACTATGGTTATAAGGGACTTCATATATCTTCTACAATAGCAAAGAGAGGAACACACTGTTTTCTTTCATTTCCAATATGCTAATTGGTACAAACTGCTCTCAAAGGTATCTGTATGCCAAACCGAGAGATTCTATCTGCATATTCCACTGAAGATTAAGTAGCCTGCTACAGATCTTTATTTCTTTGATGGTTGTTGAGCTGCGCCCCACTGGCCTACAAGGCCTCTACTTGCCCAGCTTCAAGACTGAAGATAGAGCTCGGAGTTAGTGACAGAGACATTAGTGTTTAATGGGTGGGGGAGCATACATGTCTGAATCAAGGTCCTGGAGCAACACCCCACGGTTTGTGGTGGACAGTGGACAGGACGTTGTGGCTGACTTTGCTGGGGGGATGGAGGGAATCCTTTCAGTTTCCTTTAAACATCATCCTGACAAACACTTAACACAGTGCCTTGCCTATTCCTAGCTTCTTGATAAATAAATATTGGTTAGTTGAATGAATAAAGGAATAAATGAATGAAGAGTTAAATAGTTGAATGACAACGTTCTAGACCTTCACAATATGAATAAATATACGTGTCAACTTCTCTTATTAAGATTTGAATACAAAGTAATCTTTTAATAATTCAGATAATGTAGATGAAATGATTGATTGATTTAAGAATTTGAACAGTGGAATTTTCTTAAGTTGGATTACTGTATCTAAAATGCAAATGGTAAGTAATAAAATGAAGTAAGATAACTTGAAATTGAAATGATCTTATGTTATGAGATACCTACTCTTTAATTTAGGAATAGTTGATTGCTAGGCTCAGGAGATGATTTTTTAAAGACTTTATTCTCTTTCTAACTTGATTTATTTTAGAATTTTGCCAAGTAGAAGTTGTTTTGAACTTTCTACGTAAAATGAATCAGTGTTCACTTCTGAATTATCATAGATTTTAATTTAGCAAAATTCAATCAATGGATTATACTATATATCATTTATTGGGTTTAATGCTATATATCCAGAAAATAGGTTCCCCTACATTTGGATCTATGTGATTGATATAATCTGTTGGTTTCCGTGTTTGAATATTTGAGTATGGTTTGTGGTAAAGAGTGTGGGCTGTCGTGTCACACTTGAGTTTCAATCCCCAATCTGCTGCTACTTAGTGAACAAATTATTCAACTTGTTAAACCTTAGAAGCATCTTGTATAAAATGGAGGTGATACCTACCATAAGAGGTTCTTAGTCCAGTGTCTGGGATATAGTAGGCATTCAGTAATTGGGAACAACTATTGTTTTCCTCATTCTCTTTTGTTCTGCAGCTTTCCCCATAAATAACCCAGATAAAGATGCAAGGCATGTAATAAAAGTGGTAAGTATTGCTCTTAAATTTGTGTTTCACATATATTTGACATTTTTATTTTCTGCTTTATTCATTTCATTTTTGTAAAAATGTTTCTCACCTTAGTTTTCTTAATTTTAATTAACAATACATCTAATATTATATATTTTCACATTATTAAAATGTGAAGACTGGAGAATTTTGTTCTTCTGCATTGACATTTATCATCCTTGTATCTTATCTAGCTCTCTATCTTCTGCCTTTCTTTTCCTCTCTGCTCTAGATGATAAAGTCCTTAAAGGCAGGAATGAGGTTTTATTTTTGTTTGTATCCCCTGTGGCTAGTACTATGAACAAAATACTGTAGACGCTCAGTAAAGATTCATGTATGAATGAACCACCAGGGTAGTTTGCAGTGTATCCACCCTGTTATACATGTTAGTACACATTGAGTGTCTGTGTACGTGTACAGTTCTCAGTGTTTTTAGTAAGTTCTTTCCATAAGAAGACTACTTTCTCATGTCTAAGACTGTGTAGAGATAGCATTACAAAATGTTAAAAATGAGGTTCTTTGTTTATTTAGTGCTTTTCTGAGATTTTTGTGATTCAGGTACTATTATATATTACATATGTATACTCATTTTCACAGTTGAAATACCAATTCCATCTTTAAAATTTTTTTCTAATAAAGTTAACTGTTCTTTTCTTTTATAGGAATATCAAGAAAATGGCCCATTATTTTCAGAACTTAAATTTTATCAAAGAGCGGCCAAAAGAGACTGTAGTAAGTAAAATTAGCAAAGTAAGCTACTTCCATATATATGTTTGCTAAAGTGGCTGTTAATATTTTTGTCTTTTTCTGGCCTTATGGAAAATTCTTTTCAATTAGGAATTTTTATTGTAAAATGATACAGTTAACTGTTATATAAAAACAAGACAGATGGTATACAAATCTTGATATTATATACATAATTGGTTACATATTTCAAGTAAAAGTTATTTCTTTTACTTTACATAAAATGCTGGATTGTTGACCTAAGCTACCAAGGGTTCTCTAGGTATAAAAGATAGTAAAATGAAATTGTTTCTTTCACAAAAAACCATTTGGATAAAAAGGATATAAGGAAAAGACAATAAAATGGGCAGTAGATTATAAAGAAAAGGAATGACCATAGAATAGATTCGGCCATAGTGTATGGAAATGATTAAACATTAAGATGATTTAGAAAATAAGTTAAAAATGTTAAATATTTGTATGTTGAGTAATTAATTGGAGCTGGATATCAGATGTAAGAACTACCAGTTAGAGGATTGGAATATGAAATAAATATGAGCAGAGCTAAGAAGAAAAAAAGCATGTTATAAATACTGTATGATATAGATGGACTAGTAAAGCTTAAAGGAAATTGATATGAGTATAATTAAGGTCCTTTACATTATGTTTAGGAAAGAGAATGATGAGTCTAACCTCAATAATTAACTTTGTTTTCTTTAACGAAACCTTCTGAGCATTAAGACTGTAGTCGTTACTAACTGCTTAAACTATGTCACAGTGACAAACAGAATCCATTAGACTTCATTGCTTATCAGTAGAGCTGTCTTAAACATTAAGCATATATGGTAGAGAAGTGAAAAATTAAATAAGCTGCCTGATTAAGTGGATTTGATTTTTTTAAACAAAATTTAATCAAAACAGTTTCAGTACAACAGTTTCAGAGTAAGATGATTTTTCTGCCCAACTTTTATTTATTTATTTTGACTACTGTGGCTTTAGACTTTTAGTAATATGGAAGAAAAAGCTGTCTTTCTACTGATCCTTTGGTGGTTAACATATTTTATAGTTAAAAATGTAACAAACATGTAAGGGAATTAATTTTTTTTAATGAATAGAAACATTTGTGTAAATGATATCAATGCATTTTATGACTATGCTATTTTTGTTTCTGTTTTTTATTGCATATTTCATTTTTTATATTAAAAAAATTTTTTTTGGAGTATAGTGGATTTACAATGTTGTGTTAGTTTCTGCTATACAGCAAAGTGAATCATATATACATATATATATTATATATATATATCCACTCTTTTTTAGATTCTTTTCCCATATAGGTCATTACAGAGTATTGAGTAGAGTGACTATGACTATTTTTGTTTTGGTTATAACTGATTTAAAATTTTAAAATGTTAGAAATCCGTGTATGTTTTTATGTTAATTATAATGATAAATAGAATTTGCAACTATTAGCTAGATATATTTGATTTTTAAAAAATGTTTTTAGGAAGGTCTAATTTCTGTTTAAGTTAGCTAAATAAGTTTAAGCATCTATGCAAAAGTAAGAAATACCTTTCTAAAAAAGTATACCTTTTTTCCTGTGAAATTTGTCTTTGCAGTCAAAAAATGGATAGAACTCAAACAGCTTGATTATTTAGGAATTCCTCAGTTTTATGGATCTGGTATTGCTGAATTCAAGGGAAAAAGGTAAAATGGAATTATTATAATCAAATATTGTCCTGTAACTATTTCTCATGTGGTCTATTAGTTATTTGTTGCTATATAACTAATGACCTAAAATGTGGTGGCTTATAATGACAAACTAATATTATCTTAGTTTCTGTGGGTCAGTTATCTATGTATAAATGGCTTCCCTAGATGGTTCTTGCTCAGGACTTCTCATGAGGATATAGTCAGATGTCTTTTGGGCTGTAGTCTTCTCAAGGCTCGACTGGGGAAGGATCTGCTTTCAAAATCACTCATGTGGCTATTGGCAGGCCTAAGAGGATCAGCTTTTAAATTCTCTCACGTGATTGTTGGCAGGCCTCACTTCCTCACCATGTAGGTCTCTCCAGAGGGTGCCTGAGTGTCATAAAGGCATGGCAGCTGGCTTGCAGTAATTGAAAGAGAGAGAGAAGGAGAAAGAGCACACACAAGAGCATGCATCCAAAACGAAAGTCACAGTCCTTTTATAACCTAATTGTAGACGTGATAGCCCATCATTTCTATTGTATTCTCTTTGCTAGAAACAAGTCATTAAGTCTACCCCATAGTCAAGAGAGGAGATCTAATTAAGCTCCATCTATTGAGAGGCACAACCAAAAATTTGTAGAAATGTTTTTAAACTCACCAAACATGGCTAGTCATCACATATAAATAATTAATAGTAGTGATTTTTTTAAAAATGTCATTTGTTAGGTACCCATTTTGTTCTTTCAGTAGCCTTTTAAGATAGGTGATAATATTTCTTTTCCTAGGTGAGAAGATAGGCTCAGAGGTCAGTGCTTTGCCTAAATGGTCTTTAAATGCTATAATTTTTTTAAAAAAATGAACAAACAGTAATCTTGAAACAAAGTAAAGGGCTACCTATAGGGGAGTGAATGGCTGAGTAAACCATGGTACATCTATATCATGTAATACTATGCACCCCATTAAAGGAATCAATTAAAGCTCTACCAGTTGATTTGGAAGGATTTCAATGAGATATTATTGAAAAAAGTATGATGCAGAAAAGTTCATATAATTAGATTGCATTTTTGTCAAAAAAATACAAAAATTCCTGTATGTATTTGTGTGTGTGTATACATAGATAGATATAGAATCGGGGCAGATATGAAGGGAAGAAAAGGGGCGGGGAGAGGTCCCAAACAGAAAAGAAAAAGAAGACATACATTTAGGAAAACACATGTTTATAAATGTATAGAGAAAGTAAATATGATTTTATAAGGTCAAGAAACAAATAGAAATAAAATCTTCTGTATGGAAAAATAATTGCTCAAGGCCATATGGCAAGAAGGTGATGGAGTCAAAACGAATTAAGTTCAAGACTAATTTAGAAAGACTTCTCTTTTCGTGTTCTAAGACAGTGTGAGTGGTTCAGCACAGAATGCTCTTCTACTCAAAAACTAACTGCAAAGTAAATACTTAGTATGTTTCTGCAAAAGAACGGCAATATAACGTACATTCATTCTCTAATGGTTCAGATTGCATCATTCTTTATTGTTAAGTTGGGGGTATTTTTCCATTGTTTCAAATTCATAAATAGACAGTTTCAGCATTGCTATTTTAACATCTCCTTTTGACTTCTCCTTCTTATAGTTACAGATTTATGGTAATGGAAAGACTGGGAATAGATTTGCAGAAGATCTCAGACCAGAATGGTACTTTCAAAAAGTCAACTGTCCTGCAGCTAGGTATCCGAATGGTAAGAAAGAATGACTTATTTCCCATGCTCCATTTTCAGATTATTTACTTGTTACAACATACAAATTGTTGCCCTTTGTGGAATTATCAGAGAATGAAGGATTATTGCCCTAGAAATGTCAGTTATTGAGCATAGATACTATTTTGGTGAAATTGATAACAGTGGGCTCTGTAAGTGACAGAATGTGCTGTGTTTGGCACTACAAACTCAATTAGGCTTTGGTTCTACAGTCTGATTTTTTTTTTTTCTCACAGCTTTGTTTTACATATCAGAACAAGCTTGCATTGCTATAAGAATAACCTCTCTTTTGTCAGTTACATTTATAACAATGCAAAGTATGGCAAAATATATTATTTTCCATACTACACATGTGGTGGTAAGGGGGTGCTATAACGTTTTTATTATGAGTTTGGGATGGTGGCAGTAATTAGTGTGGCAATGAATAATATATACTTTGCCAAATAAGAAGCAATGAAATCTTAATAGCACCCATGCACACATTTTGTTTATACCACGTATTCGTCTTATCTTGTTTGTGTTTGGTTTGCCTAAGCTCCATTTTATTTTTTCCACTTTAGATAGAATGCGACTACTCATGCCAGGTTGGGATGTGGCAAACAGAACTCATTAATTTTCCCATCCATCCTCTAGCCAGCCAACAAATGTTTATTGAGCACTAGGCATAGGTAACATGTAAGTCTCAAGGGTTTCAGAGATGAAGTGTAGGTGTTTTCTGTTACTCTACAGAGGGAGAATGCCTTTCTCTGTAATCCTGGACGTGGGATTTTGTTCTGGGAGCCCCAAAAACTTATTTATAATTATTGCTTGGGCGAGGGATTGTTGAGTGGGCGTCATGATTATTTCACTTTAGATCTCTGATTTTATCATAATTTTCCTCTTTGCACAGTGTGATTTGGGCACCGTGCTGTCAGGAGCATAGGCATTGTTGAGTCTTGGCTTCCTCTCCATCAGAGGTGCATTTAAAACACTTGATATTTGAGGATCCTTTTATTCACCTTTTTCCCAGGATGAGCGACCAGCACATGTGATAATTTTAGAATAGATAAATGCATAATTGTGAAATACATCATTTTGTCATTGTTAATGTGAAAAAAATACATGTTATTCTCTATTCACAATGTTCAGGTTGATCTGGAGTTCTAAATAGACATCAGTATAACCTTATATATTTCTTTTCACAGTTGGATGTACTGGAATATATACATGAAAATGAATATGTTCATGCTGACATAAAAGCAGCGAATCTACTTTTGGGTTACAGAAATCCACATCAGGTAAATACAGTATTAAGCTTTTGCCTTCAGTAAGGATCTTCAAAGTACCATACTGAGACCTTCAATAAACAAACTCCTAACAGGCAAAAGTTTGCAAATGAGGACTTAACATAATGAGTGTTGTAATTTATCCTGTCTTATCTAATTTAATGCACTAACCTGATAAATGATTAGGATGAAGAAGCTGGGACTGGGGGCGGGGGGTAAATAATTTATTAATGGACATATAGTGGCTGAGCAGGGATTTGAACTTCTGAGCAAATATAAGCAAAAACCATCAAAATGCAATGAGAGAAGGAATGGATTTATGCAGAGGAAAAAAAAAAAGGCTGTCACCTTAGTTCTTCTTCCATGTATAAACAATTAAGTTTTAAACAGAGCAGCATTGCCGATACAACTTTTGTGATGATGGAAATATCCTGTATGTTACTGTCCAGTATGGGAGCCATTAGCCACACGTGGCTGTTAAGCACTGGCAATGTGGGTAGTACAATACCAAATGCTGGTGAAGATGTGGAGCAACAGGAACTCTCATTCATTGCTGGTGCCATGGCCACTGTGGAAGACAGTTTGGCAGTTTCTTACAAAACTGAACGTACTCTAACATATGATCTGGTAGTTAAATTCCTTGGCATTTACCCAAAGGAGTGGAAAACTTATATCCACAGAAGTACCTACACACAGATGTTTATAGCAGATTTATTCATAGTTGCCAAAACTTGAATAAAGATGTCCTTTAATAGTTAAATAAACTGTGGTTCATCTGGACAATGCAATAGTACTCTACATTAAAAAGAAATGAGCACAGGCTTCCCTGGTGGTGCAGTGGTTGAGGGTCCGCCTGCCGATGCAGGGGACACAGGATCGTGCCCCAGTTTGGGAAGATCCCACATGCCGCGGAGCGGCTGGGCCCGTGACCCATGGCTGCTGAGCCTGCGCGTCCAGAGCCTGTGCTCCGCAACGGGAGAGGCCGCAACAGTGAGAGGCCCACATACCACAAAAGAGAAAAAAAAAAAGCCATAGAATATTTAACACCACAAGCGGACCCTAACGTAAACTGTAGACTTTTGGTGATAATGACGTATCGGTGTAGGTTCATCCGTTGTAACAGATGTAATACCGTGGTGTGGGATGTTGGTTGTGTGCGAGGCTATATTTGGGAGGAGGGGAGAGTGGTGTATGAGAACTTACTGTACCTTTCACTCAGTTTTACCTAAATTGCTCTACATTTAGTAAAATTGAATTTGAAACTGCTCTAAAAAATAGTCTTAAATAATGAGACTAGTGTGACCGAAGAACTGAATTTTAAATTTAACTTGATTCTAATTAGCAATTTTTTTCATCTTGTTTTTTCATCTTGATTTCTTCCCCAGCTTTATTGAGGTTTAGTTGACAAAAATTGCATATGTTTAGGTTGTACAACATGATTTATTTAAGGTATACAAAGTGATGATTTATTATACTATATATTGTGAAGTGATTAATCAAGTTAACACATTGATCACATAGTTACCTTCTGTTCTGTTTTGTGGTGAGAACACTTAAGACCTACTCTTAGCAAATTTGAAGTTTACAGCATTATTAACTATAGTCACCATGTTGGACATTAGATCCCCAGAACTTACTCATCTTCTAACTAAAAGTTTGTACCCTTTGACCAGCATCTCCCCATTTCTTCCACACCCCAGCCCCTGGTACCACTGTTCTATACTCTGATTTATAAGTTTCACTTTTGTATATGCCACATATAACTGAGATCATACAATATTTGTCTTTCAGTGTGTCTTGGTTTATTTCACTCAGCATGATATCCTCTAGCATAATGCCCTCTAGGTTCACCCATGTTGTTGCAAGTGGCATATTTCTTTCTTTTTTATGACTGAATAATACTCCATGGCATATATATACCACATTTTCTTTATCCATTTATCCATCAGCAGACACTAAGGTCATTTATGTATCTTGGCTGTTTTTAATAATGCTGCAGTAACATGGGAATACAGATATCTCTTCAAGATAATGATTTCTTTTCCTTTAGACATATACCCAGAAGTGGATTGCTGGATCATATGGTAGTTCAATTTTTAATGTTTTTTTTTTTTTGAGGAACCTCCATACAGTTTTCTATAATGACTGTACCAATTTACATTCCCACCAACAGTGTACAAGGGCTCCCTTTTCTCCCATACCCTCAACAACACTTGTTATCTCTGATAGCCATTCTAACAGGCATGAGGTGTTGTCTCATTGTGGTATTAATTTTTCATTTCCCTGATGATTAATAATGTTGAGCACGTTTTCATATACTAGTTGGCCATTTGTATGTCTTCTTTGGAAAAGTGTCTCTTTAGGTTCTTTGCCCATTTTTGAATTGGGTTATTTTGTCTTGCGAGTGAGTTATATGAGTTCTTATGTATTTTAGATATTAACTCCTTATCAGATATGTAGTATGCAAGTATTTTCTCCCATCCCATAGGTTGCCTTTTCATTCTGTTGATGGTTTCCTTGGTTGTGTAGAATCATTTTAGTTTGATGTAGTCCTACTTGTTTATTTTTGTTTTTGTTACCTATGCTTTTGGTTTCAATTGCAAAAAATCATTGCCAAGGCCGGTTCTCAAGTATTAGAAGAATTAACATTATTAAAATGTCTGTACTACCCAAAGCAATCAATGGATTCAATGGAATTCCTACCAAAATTCCAATGGCATTTTTCACAGAAATAAAAAACCAATCCTAAAATGTGTATGGAACCACAAAAGACCATGAATAGCCAAAGCAATCTTGAGAAAGAACAAAGCTGGAGGCATTACACATCCTGAATCAAACTATATTACAATGCTATAGTAATCAAAGCAGTATGCTATTGGCATAAAAACAGACATAGCCCAATGGAACAGAATAGAGAGCCATGCATATACGATCAACTAATTTTTGACAGGGGTGCCAAGAATATTCAAAGGGGCAAAGATAGTTCATCAATAAATGGTGGTGGGAAAATGGGGTATATGCATGCAAAAGAATGAAATTGGACTCTTATACCATACACAAAAATGAACTCAAAATGGATTAAAGACTTAAATGTAAGACCTGAAACCATACAACTAGAAGAAACCTAGGAAAAAAGCTTAATTTTCGGCTTCCCTGGTGGCGCAGTGGTTGACAATCTGCCTGCCAATGCAGGGGACACGGGTTCGAGTCCTGGTCTGGGAGGATCCCACATGCCGCAGAGCAACTAGGCCCGTGAGCCACAACTACTGAGCCTGCGCGTCTGGAGCCTGTGCTCTGCAACAAGAGAGGCCGCGATAGTGAGAGGCCCACGCACCGTGGTGAAGAGTGGCCCCCGCTTGCCACAACTAGAGAAAGCCCTCACACAGAAACGAAGACCCAACACAGCAAAAATAAATAAATTAATTAATAAACTCCTACCCCCAATATCTTCTTTAAAAAAAAAACAACTTAATTTTAATTGGTTTACATTTACAAAACCACATGTGGCTAGTAGCCACTGTATCAACAGAGATTTAAAGAGTTAAAAAATTGAGTCTATAACTAATTAGAAAACATTTAGCTGAATATTTAACTGAACTGTACATGAGGAAAGAAATTTCTGGATAAAAATACCCCCAAAATCGTAGAAAATATTGTGAAATTTCAAATTTTAAGATATCTGTATATTAAAAAAATTGAAAAATGAAAGGCAAGTGAAAATCTGGGAAGTATATTTATGACAAATATTTTAGGATATATAACCAGCTTTAAGAAAATTAATAAGAAGAACACCAAGTAATTTCTTAAAATAATGATTTAAAAGAATGAGCAGAAAAGAAATACGACTACCTGAGAAATAAATGAAAAAAAGTTCCCCATCACTAAAAACTAAGAGATATGCAGATCAAAACAGTGAGGCAACATTTTAAAAGAACTTATCAAATAGGAAAAGTCTGAAATAATAATCTGATGATATTGAGGCTGATGAGGGTGCAGACACTTGTAGAATGCCAGTGGGAATGTAAATTAAATGGGAGTAGTAGAAGAAATTAAGTTAATGGAAGGGCAATTTGGAAATATATATTAAAAGCCTTTAAAAGTCTGCATACTTTTTTAAGGTTAGGTTTATTGAAGTATAATTTACAAACAGTAAAATTCATCCTTTTAAATGTATAGTTTGATGTGTTTTGACACATGTATATCATATAACCACTACTGTAATCAAGACAGAGCATTTCTATCATCCTCAGAAATTCTGTCAGTCAGTCCCCTTTTCTCACCCTGAGGAAATGATTTCTGCCCCTATTTTTTTTTTTTTTTGCATTTTTAGGGATGTCATATAAATGGAATTATAGCTTTTTACTCTTTGTGTCTGGCTTCCTTTACTTAGCATAATATTTCTGAGATTTATCCATGCTGTAGTTCGTTAGTAGTCCATTCCTCTTTAATGATAGGTAGTAGTCTATTGGAAACTACTGCAGTTTCTTTATCTATTTACCTCTGGATAGATGTTTGTGTTGTTTCCAGTTTTTGACCATTATGAATGAAGATGTATAAACATTCATGTACAGGTTTTTGTATAGGTATATATTTTAACTTCTTCCGGGTAAATAGCTAGGAGTGGAATTTCCAGATTGTGTGGAAGTGTATGTTTAACTTTAAAAGAAACAGCCACACTGTTTTCCAGACTGATTGTACCATTATACCTTCCCATCAGCAACGTGGATAATTCCAGTTGCCCCATATCTTGCCACCACTTGGTTTCATTAGTTTTAAACATTTAAGCCATTATAGTAGATGTGTGGTTATATCCAGTAGTAGGTTTTTTAAGTTATTGTTTTATTTATCCCACATGAAGTGGGAGCATAAATCCAGGTGTTGTATTCCCTCATTGCTGTAAGTAAAAAGGACCAGTTTTTAAAATTTATTTATTTATTTATTGTGAATTGTCTGCTCATGTCTTTTGCCCATTTTTCTAATATTTTTTTATTCCTTGATTTTGAAGAGTTCTT